AGATCCCACACCACCCTACCCCTACGTATACCCGTACTACATAGTTACTTGTCCCGGTGGGGGTGTTTAGTGTTTAATGGGATGTGGTAAACGAGTGGGGAGGGGTGGTTTCTGGGCACTTTTTGGAAACTTACTACACATTGGCCTCTTCAAAATTACTATTTATTGGTCGCCCTGGACGAACGTGTTCGTTCGAGTTTTAAAAAAAATTGCAAAAAGTAGTATAATTATTTACAAAATTTAATCCATGCTTTTGGATTTTATGTACAAAACGTAATACATTATATAGGAAACAAAAATAGATTAAAATCAATTATAATTGATTTTAATGCATTTTTTGTCAAAAATAATCGATTAAAATGGATTAAAAATTCATTACATTGTCTAAATTTGCCATGATAATCGATTATAAAGACAACATTTTAACCAACAAAAATTCGTTATAATGAATTTTAACCATGAAACTTCGGTGCGGGATTTTCAAACCAATATGATTTTACTGTTATGACCTGTGAAAGTTGAGCTCCTTGATAAACTTATTTTATTTGATCTCCCCGATTATTCTAAGATTGTACAAAAAAATTTCTTGAACAAATTATTATTAAAAAACCGAAATTGGTCCAACAAAAATCACCTCAAACATAAAGTTTTCAGATGGTATACAAAAATTTTGCGACGTGCTTAAAGGTTATTCTTTGCTGTTATTGATTCTGCATTTCATTCAATACATTCCTAAACAAACAAAAGTAAATTTTTTTAAAACAAAAATTTACTAATTTACTGAAAAAGCAAATGGAGACGGGCAATTTTAACAATAAAAAATTTCGAATTGCCAGAAATGTTCAACAAAAATGTCTCAGGAAAAACTCTTAAGCAATATTAGAAAGACCATTTCATATTTTAAAAAAGTGCACACGTACCTTGGGGGTTGGATTTCTTGAAGAGCTTTTCCTTCGAACCCACTTTCCTGACTCCGTTCGCCTTAACAAACCGTCGACAGAAGCAGTCGAATTTACGTGCTGCAGATTTGGCACTTGAAAGTTTACGTTCAGAGCAGTGCTCGTATCGACGATTGCCGACGAAACCGAGCATCTCGGTTCGGGTTGCGTGATTAGCTCGGCGCAGCCAGTGACACTAGTTCGGGTTTTGCCTATGGGTCCTTTCGGAAATCCTTCTCGGCTAGTGAACATTTCGGGACTTAAATGGCGACTTGTAGATAGATCAGACACTCGCCTTAAGTCGGCATTGTCGATACCTTTAACAACATAATTTGGCAAAGATCACGATTAATTAAATCGGTTCAAGTTATTCGAGTAAATATTCCTGAACGATTTTGAAGAATTCTGTATAATCAGAACTACTAAAAAATAGGCATAACAATGAAGTATTATTTTAGGCTTTTGATTGAAAGCTTCTTGATAACGGAATGTTTTTGTAAATTATTGAGATTCATTTATGCTTTTTTTGCTCTTTTAAAACTTCTAGAAGGAAGTAAACGTCGTTTTCATTCCGGAAGCCTTGCGTTAAAATGTCTTCAATTACCAAGATTAAAAGGTAAATCCAGTTTCGTTGATACTTTTTAAAATGGTTTTTAATGATTTTGTTCAGCCTCAATAACCTTCGGCGGGTACAAAGTAATCATATGTAATTGTTTGAAATTCGTAGCTTAATCTTCCCTATTTTTGCTTAACTAAAATGTTTTAGTTCAATTTCTGGAAAGGTTTTAGAAAAAAACTCGAATGAAAAACAAATCAATCACCTAATTCGAAATTGTCAGACATGCACGAATTGATTAAATCTGGATTAGTTAGGAAATCGATTTTGAATTGCATCTTTCAACCTTACTTTGGAATCGATTAGGCCTTTCAGCTACGTGATTACAGCCACAAAGAAAACAGCGCAAAAATGACATTTTTGAAACATACCAAGACTGCTTGCATCAGGCGATACCCTCAGTGTTTTGACTTTTGCAAAAATAACGTTTATGCAGAAATAAGGTCTTTGCAAAACTTTTGCATATTTGTATAGTCTTTTCTAAAGAAAGAATCATTTTTTATCACTCCCCCCCCCCCTCGTCCCACGAACAAAAACGCTGAGTACGGTACGGGGATAGTGTATTTCAAGTAATGGATAGTGTATTTATCTAATTTCGTCGCAACCGCCATATTCGCCTCCCCCTTATGGTTGAACATGGGGGGATTATTTATTGGTAGGATTTGGTAGGAGATGGGAGGAGTGTTAACTGTTTACACCCCCACCCCAAGTTTACCCCCTCCCCCCTCTTTGCTTGGCGGGAAGTAAGAAAAAATTTGAGGGGTGACGTTGAGACATGGCATTTAATATAATAAAAAAATGGCATACATTTTGCAAAAATCTTGCAAATTTTGTAAAATTTCTGCAAAAATAAACCCGCACTCAGTAAAAGAGAAAATGATCGATTTTATTACAATTATAATTATACTTTTATCAAAACTATAATTAATAATAAGTGCAAAGCTTAGATGTTTAAACGATTTATAATCCATTATAATGATAACATTTTTCGTGACATTATAATAAGTTATAATCAATTATAATTTATAATAATTTTGCGAAGATCTCATGTAATCTCTTATAATCTCTTATAAAATTTTATAATCTCTTATAACCTCTCATCATCTTTTATAATCTGTTATGATCTTTTACAATCTATAATAATAGAGTATAGTACTTTTTTCTGCCGAAAATCTCTAAAATAAATGTCTTGTCACTGTTTGGTTCATCTGAACACAACGTTTTGCCACGAAACAAAAGTTTCATAGAGATTCTTTCATATTAGTTGAAAGAATCCCGCTGTAGGTGAAATATAACTCTTCTATATATATCATGAAACTAAAGCAGTGTGCTGATATTTTGCTGGGCAAAAAAAACTTAGAAAAAAACATCATGAAACATCTATAATCAAGAAGAAATGAAAAAAAAAATGCTATAAATTTGGATTAATTCGAAAACTCCAAAATTAATTTTAACATTTTCCACATCAGCCAACGTCTTCGAAAAGCATAAAATTTAGCAATTCATTTGCAAGGTCGAAGACATAATGGGCAAATAAAACGGATTATAAACAAATATAATCAAATATAAAAAGAATTTTTCTGCATAAAAAGTGAATTAGAAATGAAAATAATCGATTATAATTGTATTATAATTGATTTTATTTGATTTCAAAAAGAGAGATTATAATCAATTAATAATTGATTAAAATCATTTTTTTTCAATTTTGTTAAGACTGGCACTAAAATAATATTATAATCGATTATTAACGCTTGAAACTGGATGCGAGATCAAGTTTAATTCTAAAAACAAAATGGACTATAATCGATTATAATGAGTTAAAATGGATTTTTGTTTCAAAAATATTTGATCATAATAGCAGTATAATTGATTTATTTGTCTGAATTTTACATCTTTAAGGGATTATAATGAATTTTTTTGTCTCGGTATAATCGATTAGAATTCATGGGCTCTCGGTGCCGGTTCGTGCCACCACTAAGCCCTGAATACTCCGACTCCCATTTGATGTCCCGGCTTCTTGCCTTAGTTCGCTTGGAATTATTTATTTTTCCGCTTTTGCGTTAATATAACGAAGCATCTCTCGCCTCAATGATGACAAATTGACCAATTGGCCAAACTCAAACATCCATTAATTCGCCACGAACAATCGCAGGTTATTTTTTTACATTTTGAGCTCAAAGTTTTTAAAGCTTCCAGATGATTTCAACAACCCCTTTTTCTGGGGAGAAAGTAAAACAACCTAAGCACAAATATTCTGCTACTTTGTTCGAAAGTCGGAACAAAAAGCATGTAAGAGACTTAGTCTCCTCTTTGTTGTTTTTCTTTGTTGAGGGGCGGCGGTGATGGGATTAAAGGGTCGCGGGAATGAAGAATCGATGAATGAACAGGAGAAGAGATGGAAAGGAAAAAGTAGTAAAATGTAATTTAAGTGGTAGGGCGACAATTCGTAACAGACGACAATTCACACCAGGCGACAATTCGTAAAAAGGCATTGGCAAGTAGAATACGCTTTCTCCGCTTCGCTCAGCTGCGCTTACATCCGGCACGAGAGGAATCAGTGTTCCCTGCTTATTATACAAATCGTTTATTCGATACAGTGAAGAAAGTACAATCGGCAAAATCATTCACTGCATCAGGGTAGCTAGAACAGGCTGTTCGGCCTAACAAGTAGCTACCCCCGGGATAACTTTCACAATTAAGCAACGACAAAGATCAGTTCATGCTAATTAGAAAAAATACTGTTATCAATTGGCGCTAGTTACGAATTGTCGCTTGTTACGAATTGTCGCTTGTTACAAATTGTCGCATGTTACGAGTTGCCATCTCACGATTTAAGTGCCTAATCTGCTTAAATGTGTAGTACTTTCTAAAAAACGGAAAACTTTAGACAGTTAGATATGTTTTTGAATCCAAGACAAAACTGAAGAATCCAAATATGTTACCAGACTCATTTTTAATTAGGGGCACTAGAACCCTCGAGAAATAAGTCCACCTTAGACCAGTGCTCATTCCCAAGGTTTGATTATTGTCAGGACTAGGCGCGGATTTAGGGGAGGGGTGAAATGGGGGGGATTGGAGGGGGGTAGGACGCTTCACCCCAGACTCGATTTTCCTCACCGCGCCCAAAGTGTCCCCTTTAGTATTATTTTATAACACCATAAAAATTTTCTGTGGTCTCATAAAATAAACTTCTAAGGATGCCCACGTTGCCAAATGTACTAAAATTGAGAAGTAATTTTTTGGTCGAAACTTTCCACAAAAAGCCTCAAAACTTTTTGGCCCGTTTTTACAAAAGTTCGCCTTAAAAAAGTTCGAATTTTTTTTTGAAAACAGTTTCACTATACATTTTAATAGAGGTCAGAAACTCAATAAAAAAGGAAACAAGTTTATTTGAAAATCCCCCACGAGAAAATCCTGAATTCACCGCTGGTCAGGATAATATATCCCTGCTTTTTTTTAAAAACGCTTCAGAACTTGCGGAAGCTCATTCAAGAAATTTGTGAGGAAAGGAAACATTTTTAAGTTTCATATTGTTTTCCGGTCAGCAAATCTGAAAAAAAAGTTACTTTATCTAGAATTGTTCATTTTAACGTCAGAAACCAATATTTCACTCATTTCAATGGGCACAGTGCTGGATTTAATTTATCCGGACTAAAGGTGTGAAAATGAAACTGAAAAAGCTCTCATTGTTCAAACTTGACGGTTTTTACAGATTCCTGCTACATTCAACAATAAATAAAATATATAACGATATGTACAAAAACGTTGCTATATTTTTATGGGCTTATTTTCGCTTCGGAAAAATTTTTGGAGTTTTCATTTAGAAATTTCAGTTTACATGGAATATCGAAAAAAAACAAAATTCCTAAATTCACCGCGTGGGATTTCTGAGAGAAATGGCGTAAAATAGAAAATGGATATTTTTGTAGAGCCAAAGAAGTCGGTCGGCCAAACAATCTACTGAAAGAGATGAAAATTATATTTACTTGATAGCAAAAAAAAATGTTGGGACGTTTCAGGAGCTTCGAAAAAAAATTGAACCTGCTTTATATTTATCAGCCAACAAAATTCGATCAATTTTGTTCAAGAAAGGAGTCACAAGTCAGGGTCAAAAAAATTTTAGACATCAACAGAAAAAACTGTCAAAAACGGTGCCAAATTTTCGAGAAAAATTATCACATTTTTGAGAAAATGCAGTATTTTGAGGCGAAAACATCGTTGAATTATACTCCAGCGCCAAAATTTATGTGAGGCGACCCCCAAGTATGCTTTATAATCCTAACTATTTCACTCCAACGGCAAAATTTGGTGGAAAAAGGGTGATGTTTCGGTGCTACATAAAATTTTATGGTGAAAAAGATATTGTAGTCATCGACGGAAACACTATTTCTGCCAAATATTGCAAATTACTTGAAATTCACTTGATGGAAAACATTTATCTGGACAAAATTTTCCGGCAAGACAATACCAGTTGCCATAATTCCAAATTTTCGACAAAATTGTTCCAGGAAAATGGTTTTCAACTTTTGGAAAATTGGCCCCCACAATCTCCAGCTTTGAATATTATTGAGATATTATGGAATTTGAGTTAGGACCGAAGTGTAACTCATAGAGTAATTTCGGATAGGGTACACCGTATGCTCGTCACGCTATCTTATTTTCGGCCGGATAGATTCGTGGAACTTCTTAGTCTAATACCGA